CAGCATGGGGTCGGTTCTGCCACCTCGGGGCCCTCGGCGCCTCCTCTGTGCTGAGCCTTCCTGGCTCCCTCCCGGGCTGGGTTCTCGGGGTGACCTGACCCCCGGGAGAGACCACGAGGGCCAGGATACCAGGACTGGAGCAGGGCCACTAGCCCTGTCCTGAATATCAACCTCGTCCTGGGAGCCCGCGCCCTCAGCCCACCCCCCAGCCTGGCCCACTTTGCTCTGATGGGCTGGGCTGGGCTCTGAGAGCTTTCAGCGGAAGTGGACCGTGAGGCCCAGGTCAGCCGCCACACGGGGAAATGCATTTTCTAGCTGGTACAGAGCTGGCAGTAGGCAGCCCGCCTTCTCTGCCCAGCCCCTGCTGTCCACCATGCAGGGTCATGTGTCTGCTGTGGCTGTCCTGGGGCAACCCAGCCACACTCGCCATTGGGAGCTGGCCCTGCCCTTAGAGGCAGGCCCCAGTCAGGGGGGTTGGGTGTGGATGGCGGGCTCTCTCACACCATAAAGGGGCCGCAGGAAGCTCAGGGATGTCCAGGTGCCTCGGCCCCAACCTACAAGACGAGTGCAGTGGACATTCTGTGCTGTACCCGACAAGGACAGATTTCTCCCTCTCCCCCCACAAGCGCCCACAGTGTCACAGGTGAGAATGGGAACATTGTCTGCAATCGGCAAGGCCAGGATGGCCCTTTGCTTTATCTTTTTGATCTGAAGCCAAGATGCTGGCCCCCAGACCTGCCTGGCCCCACGTACAGGGACGGCCCTTCTGGGCCCCGGGAACCCCACCCTGCACTGGGCCCCAGCCGGCCTCTCCTGGGGAAAGAGGGGTCTGCCCCTGGCCTCGCTGTTACTCATTAACCACCCGAGAGCCATTCAGGAAACTGGCGAGGGTGCACAGGGAGCGTTTACTCAGGATCAGGAGCAGGGCGACCAGATGGCTCCCCAGCTGCACCCACAAACACACGCGCCTAGGGGCTGCGTGCCGGGATCGGGGTCTGCGGGAAAGCCCTCCTCAGAGCAGCCCAGGCGCGAGGCGGTTTCCCTGAGGCTCCAGCCAGACACCAGGCTGCAGGGCCTCTGGGGGCTGCTCTGCAGACTCAGGAGGGTCCCGGGTCTCGCCGCCTAGCTGCACTGTCCTGCTCCCTTGGGGCACCATGGGACAGGCCGTGGGAGAAGCTGCCCCTGGGCCATCCTGGTAGGGCCGCCGGACTCGAGGCCACCTGTACCGCAGCCTGCCGATGGGTGTCTTACCAGACATGGTTAGATCTGGGTCTTTCTGTCTAATACTGTCTGGTAATGCCGTCCATCCATGGCCTGATCGCCACCGGAGGAGGGGCCCCTTGCCGGACACCAGGTGGAGGGCAAGGCCCGCAGTCCATGGGGCCCAGGGGCGGCCCTGAGCCAGGCGGTGCACACATCCCCAGGCCTGGGGCCCTTGTGTCCCCCCAGGGCACAGGCCACACCGAGACTCCCCCAGCCCCCATGACCCTGACTAGGGGAGCCTTTTGACCCCAAAGTGGGCTTTCTGTTGCAGACCTAATGAATTGTTGGTGAAATAAAGGATGTGAGGCGCCAAGGCGGCTGGTACTGTTCATCTCAGGCACACAGATGGCACAGCCCACCCCACAATGGCCCCACAGGCCTGACACCGAGGGTCTGTGAGCAGATGGTGCAGCCACCATGCTGTAGGCACCACCACTGGGCCAGGAGAGACCCAGGGGGTCTGTAGTCAGCCACACCCCAGAGCCCCACCCTGGAGCCCTCTCCAGGGAGGTGACCTTATCCCTTGGCACCTCCAACCTGTACCAGGCCAGGGGGCCCGAGGAGGACAAGAGAGAAGCAGACCCCCAAAAACCCCAACCCAGGGTAAAGAAGAGCACCTGTGCCCAGCAGTGCCCCCAGGGACCCCCGGGGCCACTCTCTCCCCCACCCCAGGCAGCACCAGGAGCCTGGAGGGTGCTGGGAGTGGAGACCCCAAGGTGAGACCCCGCCCTCAGCCTAGAGCAAGAAGCTCGTGGTAAGGGGCGAGATGAGTAGGGGTGGGGCAGAGACCACCTATCCTTCCATGGGCCTCAGCCCAGGGTCCTCACTGGGTCCCCACAGGCCCATCGCTCCAGGTGCAGGGCAGATGACCACCCATGCCGGGGTGGCAGGCCTCGCAGCTGCCCTGCCGTCGGCCTGCCCTCAGGCCCTGCCCTGCAGCCCCTGCCCTGCTCTCAGTTGCTCAGCCCACTGAATCTCATCGAGATGTCCTCTGTCTAAAGCTGTCCCCAAACCAGACTTCTGGATGCTGATCCCACCCCCAGCCTCATGGCTGCCCCCTCAAAGCCCCTTTCTTCCCCTGAGAATTCCAAGCAGGTCCTCAGGTCCTAACTCGTGTTTTTGCAAAGGACCCTCTGAGGACAGAGCCCCAGACCCTGCACCCCCTTCCCCAAGTGCTCGGTGGCCAGAGTCTGGAGGGAGGCCCTCCTCCTCCCTCCTCCCTCTCTCCTTCTTCCTTCCTCCCTCCCTTCTTTCTCCTTCCTTCTCTCCCTCCCTCCCTTCTTCCTGAGCGCCCTCTGCGACCTGGGGGAGGAGGAAGGTCCCTAAGATGGAGCCACAGATGGCGATGAGGCCCGGGAGCACGTGTCAGCTATCAGGGCTGCCTGTGCTAAAGAAGCCAGAGCAGTTGAGAAGGTGTTTGGGGGTGAAGTCAGCCCGGGAAGGCCTCTCGAGCAGATGACTAAGTGGGGACCATGCAGACACCTGCAGGAGCCAAGCAGAGGGACTCAGAGGCCAGAGGCTGCATGAGGCCAGCAAAGAGGGCTTCCTGGTCCAGCATCCAAGAGCCTTGGCCTGGCCCCAGCAAGGCACTGACTCTCCATGGGGGGCGGGACCTGACCTGTCTGGGAGACCCCCAACCATGGCTGCAGGAGGGGCACTGGGCCTTCCCTGCTGCTCCTCCTGGCCCTGGAGCGGGGGCTGGACTGCCCCCTCCTGCCTCCAGCACACAGGGTCTGAGCACACCCACGAGGCCCCCAGCTGCCCCCTGCCCCAAGGGAGAGGCGTCCAGCGGTTGATGATTCTTTGCCTGGCTCCAGGCGGCAGATGCAGTGATGCGCCAGCCCCAGGCCATCGTGGGAAAGGCTGCTGCCAGGGCAGCACCCACACCATCCAGTTTTTCAGGTTATGAGGCCAAGTTTTTGAGTTTGAGTTCTCGCTGGCACAGTGTGGGCAGGGGACCACCTCTCAGAACCTGTGGAGAGCCGTGGGGGACCAGGATGGTGGGCGGGCCAAGGAGCCTGGGAGCCTCCAAGGGGTCTGGACCCTAGAACTGATGTGGGGAGAGAGACACGGGATCCCAAAGGAGGACAGCCATGGGGGTTCTGAGGGTCTATGCTTAGGTGACCAAGAGGTCCAGAGGCCCCACTGCTCCTCCCACCCGCTGTTGCCCCTGGCAGGCCCAGGCTGGGGGCCACTAGCTCCCAAGGCCAGGGTGCTCCAATCTGTCAGTCAAGGGCTTGGCCAGAGGGGCTCTCTGCCCCTCCAGGCTGACCTACAGCTACCACAGGGCAGATGGGTCTCAGGCCAATGTCCAGCAAGACTGACTCCCGAAGGCCCCCAGCTCCTGACCCAGCAGGCACGGAGCCTGGGAGAGCGTCAGCCTCTGTGTGGGGTCAGGGAGGCCTCCCCCTAGTGAGGAGAGGTTTAAGGGCTACTGAAACAAGTGACCACAAACTGGGGGCTTGAGACAACAGACGCCTTCTCACAGCTCAGGAGGCCAGAAGTCAGAAGCCAAGGTTGGGGGGCACTCCCTCCAGAGGCTCCAGGGGAGAATCCTTCCTGCCTTTTCCGGGCTCTGGGGGCTCCAGGCGTCCCTGGGCTTGTGGCCGCATCCCTCCAGCCTCTGCTCCCATCTTAACGTGTCTCCTCCTCTCTCTCTGCCTGCCTCTTTGAGGACACTGGTCACTGAATTTAGGGCCCACCAGATAATCCAGGAGGATCTCATCTCAAGATCCTTCACTTAATCACATCTGCAAAGACACTTTTTCTAAGTAAGACTGCATCCACAGGTCCCAGGGCTTAGGACGTGGACACATATTTTGGCGGCCACCATCCAGGCCCACAAGAAGCAAGTGAAGGAACCTAAGCAGAGACCCCCTCGTGACCCATGCAAGGCTCTGCAGGGGGACAAGGCCACGTGGGAGGGTGGGGCCAGGGGCCGTGCAGGGCAGCTGGAGGTACAGCGGCTGGGAGCTTTCTTGGCGCGCTGGTCTCCCAGAGCCGGTGTGAGCCCCTGCTGCCCCTCGGGGGAGGCATGGACCGCGCTGAGCCCCACTTCTTGTTTTGTAAAGTGGGGGCACCACGCGCTGGGGCTGTGCTGAGACAACATGTGGCTCGTAAAGCGCTTGGGGTCCAGGCGTGCACCTGGGGGTCTCGAGAAGGCTCAGGGATGATACTGGGGAGGATGGAGGGCCTGGTGGGGGCCGTGCTCCAGCCTCAGTCACCCCCCTGCTCCCTGCCCCCTCATCCACCTGCTCACCTCTGGGCCCTAGGTCTGGTTGCTGGGAGACGGTTGCTGGGTCACTACTGTTGTTTCCTGGCAGAGGGCTCGCACCACCTTGTCAGGCAGGTAGGAGGGGCAGGGGGCCACCAGCGGGGGTCCTGGCTGGGCATGAGGGCTGGGGCCTGCCGTCCTGTGCCCTCCCCCGGCCACCAGGGACCCTGTGGGTCCTCTTGGGACTCTGCCCAGGAGCAGAGGGGGAGGGAGATCGGGGAGGGGAGGGTGGGTGTGGGTGGCCTTCCTGGGCCGAGCCCCCTCCGCAGAGGGCCACGCCCCCAGGGCCACGGGTGGAGGGGCACGGCCAGGCAGGGAAGGGCGTGCCTCCTGGGGTGGCGGCCCCTCAGGACCAGGTCTGTCTCCCAGAACCAAACTCTGGAAGGGTGGCCTCCTGAAATCTGCAGGGCCCACAACCCCCAGACAGCCTGCCCCCAGCCAGGAGGCGCCAGCCTGCCCAACGATGTCAGCACCTCTTGGCACCCGTGTGGACAAACGGGAATCCGGGGGGCCGCCTGGCTGGACGCTGACCTGCCTCACTTTCTCGGACATTCTCCTCAGGTCCGCGAGGGTCTCCCACTCCACACACCAGGGTGCTGTTTCCTGCCGGTCCTCTCACCTGACCAGGTAACAGTTGATTTCCCAACCTATTGTACAGTGGAGTTCTCACTGCTCCCAGCGCCATCCTGACGGGACCCCCGGCTGCGCGCACGCGTCTCACCCTAAGTGACAAGTGACCTCCCAAGGACACCTGTGAGCGTGGAGCTCTGCGCCTTGTTTAGAATTCCGGCCTTGAGTGGCTGCAAAGAGCAGCTGCTGGACGACGGTGAAGCCACAAGCCCCGACCCAGGGGCTCCAGCCAGCCCTGCAAAGACCCGAGGTCACCACAGCCTGTGTGCCTGGCCCTCTTTCTATCTTTGTTAATTTGCATGAGGAGAAATGATAACTCATGGCTTGTTTAATTCTTTGTGAAAGTGGTGAGTACACAAAGTTAGAAAAGCCAGATCAAGGTGCAAGGCTGAGCATGGAGACCAGCGTCCCCCCAGCTCCAAGGCCGCCTCGTGGGCTCCTCCTGCTGCTGCCGCACTTGCCTCCGCATCTCTGCGGAGCGCCCGCAGCTGCTGTCTCTCCAGTTCCCCTGGCAGAAGTTACCCCCGACTCTGCACCATGGAAGACGGGGACTCACTCCCCACACACCACACGTGTTCCTGTTGCAATCACAGCGATGCTCACGGCCCCGCTGTGCCCTCATCCTCCTCACCACGTCACGGCAACGCACAGTGAGCACGCTCTGGGTGTGAACTCAGTCAGGCTGCTGTCACTCCCAGCCCACTCTGCAGGAGAAGAAATTGGCACGGAGAGATTAGGTAGATATCGGGGGTCACAGCCAATCCGCTGTGACCAGCCCAGCTCCCGGGCTCAGGAGCTCCCCTGAGGGACATCTGGAGACCTTTCTCCGCCCTAGGCACCTCCTCTGTCTCTCAGCGCCCCGCCCTCCCAGCCCTGGGTCCCCTGGACGCGACTTTAGCCCCATGTCCTTCATGCTTCTGTGTTTCATTCTCCTTTCTGGGAGATTTCCTGGCCTTGCACTTCGACCGTTGCGTTGCATTTTTAACTTCCACTAGCTCTTCGTATTTTCTGTTCCTTTGTTCTAACAGCGTCCAGACCTCTTCCGGGGTGAGGACTCTCCTGCTCCCCCAGCACCTTCTGGGGGTGGTTTCCTCTGACTTCTGTGTTATCCTGTTTCTTCCCTCTCCTCTTCCTCTGTGTGTGTGTCTCTGCATGTGCGTGACTGAGTGTGTCTGTGTGTGTGTCTGTGTGCGTGCATGACCAGGTGTGTGTCTGTGCGTGTGTGACTGTGTGTCTGTGCAAGACCAGGTGTGTGTCTGTGTGTGTGTGACTGAGTGTGTGTCTGTGCATGACCAGGTGTGTGTCTGTGCGTGTGTGACTGTGTGTCTGTGCAAGACCAGGTGTGTGTCTGTGTGTGTGTGACTGAGTGTGTGTCTGTGCATGACCAGGTGTGTGTCTGTGCGTGTGTGTGACCGAGTGTCTGTGTGTGTGCCTGTGCATGTCCATGACCAAGTGTGTGTCTGTGTAAGTGTGTATATGTGGGTCTGTGTGTGTCTGTGTGGGCGCCAAGCTCTCACTCACCCTCAGATTCCTGTTGGCCCACCAGGGCCACTCACTTCAGAGTGCTGTGGGCAGGTGCTGAATGTCAGAATGTTGGGGGTCCCGTATCTCCAGCAGGACTCCTTGGACCTGCCACGGGTGCTGGGAACCAAGTGGGAAAGGGCTGGGGTCTCTCAGGCAATGTGGAAAGTTGTGCACGCCCACACACACACCCTCCCTGTTCTCAGCAGGCTCTCCCTCCTTCCCCGCCTGCTCCCGTGGTCATGCTGACAGCTCTTCACAGTTCCTCTTCCGTCCTGAGTGCGCACCGAGGGTCAGGCAGCATTTCTTGGTGACCAGCTTGTGTGTCTGCAGGAGCGGGAGCCCCGTCTCTGTCCTGCCAGCTTTTCAGTTGCTTGCCTTTCCACTGCTTGAGTGTTTTCAATCCTTCAGAAAGTCCTTGCCTCCCAAACGGCCCCAAAACTGGGAAGGACCCGTCGAAAATTCCCTGAAATGTTCCCGAGTTGGCCACACGGGAAAAGGTGCTCAAAAGAAGGGATTGTCCTGCGGGCAGGGCCCAGGCAGCAGTGAGGACACTCCTGGACACCTCGCTGCCCGGCCCTGCCTCAGACACAGAGCCACCCTCGACTCTGGGGAGGCACCTGTTCAGGGCCAGGGTGCCCCTCCCAACCCCCGCAGGCCTGACGGCGGCCCTCCTTACAGCCAGCACCGAGGCCGAGCACGGCAACACCAGGCAGACGGTCCTTGCAGGGGAGACCTCGCCCGGGACAGACAGGATGCAGAGATGGCCCTGGTCCTGCGGGGCACCAGGCCCCACGGTCACCACAGAGACAGCAGCCAGCCACAAGCAGAAACCCAAGTCCAGGACCCCGGGAGGCGTCCCTCCCTGGGCAGGGTGGGCCTGACCTTGTGCCCAGTCCAAGGACTAGGACCACCAGCTGCCAGAAGGTCTTGCAGGGGGGTGGGGGCGACATCTTCCCAGAGGCGCACCCGCCCCAGTGCCCCCACACCTGTGGCCCAAAGCCGCACCTGCTTCAACCACCGCCGGGGACTACCCAATTGGACCCAGGTCGGCGCGAAGAGAGGCAAGCAGTCAAGGATTACAGGGGTCGGGCAGAGCCGTCCCCGGGTGCCAGGCAAATGCAGGCCCCCGCCAGGCCAGGGCCTCCCCAGGACAGGTGCCCCATCCCAGGGAAGGTGTTCTCATGGGGGGACCACACACGGCCCTGGGAGAGGAGCCAGCAGGAAGCCATGCATTGGGTGTGGGGTCTGGGCCAGCTGAGCAGGGCAGAGGACAGCAGAGTCAGGGTCTGAACAGGCACAGAGAGGGGATACCGCTGCTGTCCACAGTGTGGGGGGGGCCACCCCCATGGGCAGCCACAGCAGGCATGCCCCTGCCTGCCCTGAAACCCAGCCCCTGCCCAGGGCAAGCACGACCCCATCACCCCTGCCTGAAATGGGTCACCTGTGATGTCATGATGGACATTGTGACCCCACCCTCCTGGGCACATCCCTGCACCATGTCTGCCCCCAGGTCCAGCTGCACATCCTAGCCCCTTCCCTGCACAGAGCCCCTGCCCTGTTGGTAAGGAGGGGCCCTGCCTGCTCCAAGGCTGGCCCTGGGTGGTAGGGACTGTCCCCTCTCTCCTAGGAGCTGTGACCGGCCCAGGTCCACTGGTCAGGCCTGAGCCTGGGCTGAGATGGGCTGAGACAGACTGGGGGCACTTCCCAGGGGCTGCTGGAAATGGCTGGGCTTGGTTGAGGCCGGATTCTGAATGGGCACCACCCCCTGATCCCACTCCGTTCCCAGGCTGGGCCCATGAGAGATTGATGGGGAGCGGCCAGGAGGAGGGGCTCCTGCATCAGCTAAGCCAGCTGGACCAAGATGCAGGTGGGGTCTGAGGCAGGGGCCGAGAGGGGGTGGGAGAGCCTGCAGCCAGGCCAGAGCCTCTGACCACCCACCCGCCCCCAGACCTGGATGACACTGAAGCTGCTGGGCCCCGGGCCGCCCTCCTGGAGAAGCACCTGCTGGAGGGAGAGAAACAGCTGCCCAGCCCCGGGCAGGGCCCCTTCTTCTACATCGGGGGCACCAACGGGGCCTCAATGTGAGTGGGGGCCTCAAGCCAGGCCCAGCCCCGCTGCCCCCAGGGCCCAGCCCAGCCTCAGCTCTGCTGCCTTGGCCCCCATGTCCCCTCCCCTGGCATGCCCCCCTCCCCCCAGGGTGACGGCTGCCCCTGCCCTGCAGAATCAGCTCCTACTGCAAGAACAAGGGCTGGCAGCGCATCCAGGACAGCGGGCGGGAGGACTACAAGCTGAAGTGGTGCGAGGTCAAGAGCCGGGACAGCTACTGCAGCTTCCGGGAAGGTAGCCGGGAAGAGGGGCCGGGGCTTGCCCGCAGCCTGCGAGGGCCTGCTGGGCCAGAGCACGGGGCGAGCAGCACCACAGCCCTCCATGGGGGCTGGGGGGGGTGGGGCGTGGTGAGGGCCATGGGGTCTGGGTGGCTGCAGCCCTGTGGCAGTCACCCACATGCTGCCCAGGGCTCTGTCATCCAGGGGAGCAGCTGCTGTACCAGCTGCCCAACAACAGACTCCTCACCACCAAGATCGGGTTGCTCAGTGCCCTGAGGGTATACTCGCGGGTCCTGAGCAAGATCAACAAGGCAGCGTTGGGCGCCCAGGCCAGGTAAGCCAGCCCTGGCCCACCTGGCACTGGCCATCAACCCGCCATGCACCCATCTGTCCTTTAAAGCAGTAGATCCTGTCCACCCACCCCACCCCACAGACCGACCCATCTGACATGTACGTCAGTCGCTGGTCCTGGCCGCCCTCCACGGAATCCGTCTGCTCACTATTCTGTCCACTCACCAACATCCATCCACCCACGCATCTTCCCACTGGCCCATCCAGGCACTCACCAATCTGTCTCCACTCCCAAACACCTGCCCCCCATTCCATCCACCTGCCCCTCGGACCACCCAGCTATCCTTACACACACCAACCACGGACCACCCACTGGTGTTCCCGATTTAGTCATTCATTGCCTCCACACCCACTGCCATCCACCCACCCATACCTGTCCCCACAGCTCCTTCTCCACTCACTGTCCATCCACTACCCTTCACCACCACCCCACAGCCGTGCCGAGCCACTCAGTGAACTCATCTCTCTGACCTGCCCACTCGCTCAACCATGCATTTGCCAGACAATTTCCACATCTGCCCACCCATCCAATCAACCACCCACCATCTGCCTCCCCCATCCACCCTCACCAGGCAGGCAGCCTACCCACTACCTGGTCATTCACAACATCATCTTTACATCTACACGTCCAGCCGTCCACCTCCACCCTACCCATTTCTGTCAGCAACTCTGATCTGTTCCCCCAGGCATCCATGTGTCTATCTACCAGACCACCTCTCCATCCATCCACCTACCACCCACCTATCTGCCTCAAAGCCCCCACCCATTCCCCCACCTCTCCAGACCCCCACCCACCCATTCTCCACACACTACTGAGTGGCCACTCAGGCCAGGCCCTGTGTCCCCTGGGGTACAGATCTGGAAAGGATGCAGCACCTGCCCTCGAGGAACCCACGAGGACCAGCCCAGGACGCCTCAGGCCACAGAGGTAGATGCACTCAGCCCAGCTGGGAGGGGCCGCTCTGCCCTCAACTCAAGAATGGCCTGGTGGTAGATGACAGGGGTTAGGGCATCCTGAGCCAGGGGAAGAGGTTTGGACTAGCCCAGAGCGTTGACCATGCTGACCACTCGGTGCATGCCAGTCACTGTCCTGGCCTGGGGACACAGCTCTGACTGACTGCTCACAAATGCCTGAGATGAGGCAGGGGGAGGGAGAAGGGGCCAGGGTATGGGGGAGGCACCTGCAGCCTGCAGAGGACCCAGGTGTGCAAGGAGCAGGAAAAGAGTACTCCTGGCAAAAGAACAGAAGGTGGGAAGGCTCTGCAGAGGGAACAGCTGGTGGTAGGGGGGACCAAAAGCTGCGAGTGCCTGGAGCCCAACACACTCTCCCCCCAGCCGCCCTCAGTCAGACCCCTAGAATGGCTGGCTAAGCCTGCCGGGAGGAGGACAGCGCTCCCGTGTGCTCCCCACCTCCCTGCTCCCCCAGGGTCCTGAAAATGGAAGAATTTTTCCCAGAGACCTACCGTCTGGACATCAGCGAGGAGAGAAAGGCTTTTTTCACCCTCTTTGATGGTGAGAGGCCGCTGGATGCCAGCCCTGCTCCGGGAAGATGGGTTCAGGCCTGGACCAAGGTGGGGGTGTGATGAGGCCAGGTCAAGGTCCGGCGAGGTCGAGGTTCCGGCATGGTCAGGGAGGGGAAGGGTGGAGCCAGGGAGGGCGAGGTCGGGGCTGAGCCAGGGTGGGAGGGTCTGGCTGGGCTTTAGCGGAGGCCGGAGCCTGGTAGGGGCGGGGCCATGGCTGGGCGTGGTCAGCGGTGGATGGGGCGTGGTCAGAGCCGTGGTTGGGCGAGGTCAGGGCCAGGACGGGGCAAGGTCAGGGCAGCGAGTGGACGTGGTCCCATAGGGGGGCGTGGTCAGGACCGGGGTGGGGCGGGGCCGCCCGGGGCTCAGGGGCCTCTCTCCGCAGATACCCAGATGTGGATCTGCAAGCCCACCGCCTCCAACCAGGGCAAAGGCATCTTTCTGCTCAGGAACCAGGAGGAAGTCACTGCCCTCCAGGCCAAGATCCAAAGCATCGAGGACGACCCCATCTACCGCAAGATGCCGTTCCGCGCGCCCCAGGCACGCATCGTGCAGAGGTGTGGGCGTGGGCGCCATGAGGGGCGTCAGTCCAGGGAGGGCTGACCCTGGGCCCCGCTGGTGCCTGTGGGGGTCGCAGAGCCTACAGAGGAGTCCTCGGCCGTGGAAGCCTGCGGTGCCCCTAATCAGGCCCTTCTGTGGCCAGCAGAGGTGGGGTATTATATGGGGTCGCAGTCACAACGGAGATCCCCCCCACAGAGGCTCCTGGACACGCAGGGAGGGCGTGGTCAGTTTGTCGCCAACCTGGGCCCTGCTCCTCTGCCCTGCAGGAAGCCCAGCGGTGGCAGGACCCCCTACAGCCAGCCTCTCCCCCATCCCGGCCAGGTGTAGACCGCACGCCTGCCACAGCTGCTGTCTGCTGCCCTTCCCTTCTTGTCAGCCTCCCAAGCTGCTGCTCCCAGCCTCTGGGTCTCTAGACCTACAGCTTCCTCCACCTGGGATGTCCCCTCCCTGCCGCTCCAAAGCCACCAGCCCTTTAAGGCCCAATGTCAGCCCTTCTTCCTCCTCCAGGCAGTCCCTCCGGCCCACAGGGGCCCAGTCTGCTTCCACCCTGCAGGCTCCTGGTGAGAGCTGCACCCTGGGGTGCCCCAGATGCATGCAGTAGGCTGAGATCGAGGGGCCAGGCCCTCCCTCCCAATTCTCTGACCTGTTCAGGCTCAGAAATGTCCCCTTACCAATGGACACTGCACTCAGCCAGAGGAGGGAGCCCATAGGTCACACTTGGGACAGGTGGCAGGAGCACTGAGGAACCGACCCAGGCCCTGGTGGGGGTGAAGGGACACAGGCCAGGCTGGCCATGTTCTCAGGCCCCACATGCCCCCAGGTACATCCAGAATCCACTGCTGCTGGATGGGAAGAAGTTTGACGTGCGCTCCTACCTGCTCATCGCCTGCACCATGCCATATATGGTCTTCTTTGGCCACGGCTACGCTCGCCTCACCCTCAGCCTTTATGACCCCTGTTCCAGCGACCTCGGTGGCCACTTGACCAACCAGGTAAGGGCACCTCACAGGAAAGGGGCCTCCCTGCAGCCTTGGGACAAGATCTCTGCCCAGAAATGCAAAAGAGAGGCTTGCTGTAGACATGCTCAGACCCAGAGGTGGCTCAGACACAGGGGTGGCCCAGTCTTGGAGGTGGTCCAGGTCTGGAGGTGGCCTGGGCTCCTCCTGCCTGCAGTCAGCACTGTCTCTCACCTCAGCCACAGCAGGGCTTCCTGGTGAAATGACCAAGCCCTGCAACTCTGACCCCCAGCTTGGTTCCCTCTGGGTGTGGATGAGGTGTGGGTGGGGGTAGGAGCTGAGGGGCAAGGGGTCTCTGTGAGGACCTCAGTGGAGAGATCTTTTCCTAATGGGAAGAGTCTAGGCAGGGGCCTCCCATGAGGATCTGTGGGGGACTTGACGGCTGAGGAGTCTCAGTGGAAGAAGGTGTTATGGGAGGGTCTTGGCAGGCAGGCTCCTGCAGGGTGTCCTGGAGGAGTGGGGCCTCTGTGGGATCTCTGGGTAGCTGGGTTAGGGTGAGACTATTTTTAGGGCCCCTCAGTGGGGCAGGACCTCTGGGTGTTCTGCGGCAGTGGTCTCCAGGCGCCACACTGCCCCCTCAGTTCCTGCAGAAGAAGAGCCCCCTCTACGTGCTGCTCAAGGAGAACACGGTGTGGAGCATGGACCACCTCAACCGGTACATCAACGACAAGTTCAGGAAGACCAAGGGCCTCCCCAGAGACTGGGTCTTCACCACCTTCACGGTCCGTGCGCTCCTCACCCACCGCAGCCTGGGGGGGCCAGGGTCAGGACCCCTTAGGGTATGTGGGGGGCGGGGGTGGTGTTTCCGCCTCTGCTGGGCTGGGCAAGGGGCACGTCAGATGTCCTGGGGGGGCGCGTCTGTATTGGAGGGTGTGTCTGTCTGAGGTGTAACTGCGGGCTGTGGAAGCTGGCCGCTCTGAGGTGTCTCCATTACTCTCTCATCTCTCTCCCTCTCCCTCTCTCAGCTGCGATAATTCACGATAATTCACATAAACTTTACCATTTTAAAGTTTACAGTTCAGTAGTTTTAGTTGATTCACAGAGTTGTACAATAGTTCAGAACATTTTCATCTCCTCAAAAAGAAACCCCGTGCCCATTAGTCATCTCTGCCCATTCCACTCCCCCAGCTTCTGGACACGACTGATCTACTTTCTGTCCCTATGGGTTTCCCTATTCTGGACATTTTGTATAAATGGGAGCATACACTACGTGGCTTTTCCTGGCTTCCTTTACCAAGCATCATGTGTTCGAGACTCATCCACGTTGTGGCATGTGTCAGTACCTCATTCCTTTTTACAGCTGAGTAACATTCCAGCGTGTGGATCCACCACAACTTTTTGGGTGAACATCCATCAGTTGATGGACGTTTGGGTTGTTTCCACCTTTTGTCTATTATGAATAATGCTATGTGAATATTCTTGTACAAGTTCATGTATATGTTCATGAACATATATTTTCAGGTCTCTTGGGTACATACCTAGGAATGGAATTGTGGGGTCACATGGTAACTCTTGTGTTCAACTTTTTGAGGAACTGCCATACTCTTTCCACGGTTGCTGCAATAGTTCACATTCCCATCAGCAATGTATGAGGGTTGCAGTTTCTCCAGATCCTTGCCAATATTTGTTTTTTGTTTTTCGTTTTTTTTAATAGTCGTCCAGTGGGTGTGAAGTGGTATCTCATTGTGGGTTTGATTTACATTTCCCTAATGATAATGATATTGAGCATCTTTTCATGTGTTTATTGGCCATTTGTATATCTTCCTTAGAAAAATGTCTATTCAGATTCTTTGTCCATGCTCGCCTGTTAGGCTGTAAGAGCTCTTTATATGTTCTGGATGCTAGACCCTTATTAGATATGTGGTTTGCAAATATTTTCTCCTGTGAGTTGTCCTTTCACTTTCTTGATAATGTCCTTTTTTGCAGAAAAGTTTTAGATTTTGGAAAAGACCAATTTATCTATTTTTTCTCTGGTTATTCATGCTTTTGATGTCATATCTAAGAATCCATTGCCAAATCCAAGGTTGTAAAGATTTATACCTATGTTTTCTTCTAAAAGTTTTATAGTTTTAGCTCTTACATTTAGATCATTGACCCATTTTGAGTTAATTTCTGTATATGGCATTAGGTAAGGGTCCAACTTCACTTTTTTGCACGTGGATGTCCAGTTGTCCTAGCGCCATTTGTCGAAGAGACTGTTCTTGGCACATCGTTGAAAATCAATTGACCACATATGTACAGGTTTATTTCTGGACTCTCAGTTCTATTCCACTGGTGTGTGTGTCCATCCTTAAGTCAGTACCACACTGTTTTGATTGCTGTTGCTTTGTTCTATTAATGTGCTGTATTACATTGATTGATTTTCATGTGTTGAACAAGTCTTGCATTTCTGGGATAAATCCCACGCAAACATGGTACATTATCCTTAAATACACTGCTAGACTTGGTTTGCTAGTACTCCATTGAGTATTTTTGTGTCTACACTCATAAGCAATATTGGTTTATAGCATTCTTTTGTTGTATGTTTGTCTGGTTTTCGACATGTTCCCTCCTCTTCTATTTTTGGAGAGTTTGTGAAGGATTAGTGTTAATTCTTTAAATGTTTGGAAAAATTCACCAGTGAGGCCATCTTGTCCCGGACTTTTCTTTGTGGGAAGGTTTTTTATATTATTACTACTAACTCGAGCTTTGCTTGTTACAGGTTATTCAGATTTTCTGTTTCTTCTCGGGTCAAGCTTATTCATTTGTCTTTCTAGGAATCTATCCATTTCTTCTGAGTTGTCTAATTTGTTTGGAATACAGTTGTTCATAGTATTCTATGAACAACAATAATCCTTTTTATAATCATTTTCATCTCTATGTAAGGTCTTTCTTTCTTGATTTTAGTAATTTGGGTATTCTCTCCTTTTTTCTTGGTCAGTCCAGCTAAGAGTTTGTCAGTTTTGTTGATCTTGTCAATGAACCAGCTTTGGTTTCATTGATTTTATCTATTGTTTTCTATTTCTATTCCCTTTATCTCCACTCTCTTCTTTATGATTTCCTTCCTTCTTTGCTTTGGGTTTAGTTTTCTCTTCTTTTTCTAGTTTCTTAAGGTTGAAGTTTAGGTTATTGATTTGACATCTTTTCTCTTGTTTATGGTGTTTACAGCCATAAATTCCCTTCTGAGCACTGCTTTCACTGGATCCCTTAAGATTTTATGTGTTCTGTTTTTGTTTTCATTTGTTGCTTAAGAGTGTTACTTAATTTCCACATATTTGTGAATTTTCCAATTTTCCTTCTCTTATTTATTTCTAACTTCATTCCATTGTGGTCAGAGAACATACTTTGTATGATGTCAAACCCTTTAAAAATTACTGAAACTTGTTTTATGTCCTAACACATGTCTGTCCTGGAGAATGTTCCATGTGCACTTGAGAAGAAGGAGTGTTCTGCTGCTGGGTGCAGCGTTCTCTAGATGTCTGTTAGGTCTAGTTGTTTTTCAGGGTTGTTCAAGTCTTCTGTTTACTTGTTGCTCTTCTGTCTAGATGTTCTATCCTGTTCTATCCATCATTGAAAGTGGAGTATTGAAGTCTCCAACTATTATTATTGAATTGTCTATTTCTCCCTTCAGTTCTGTCAGTTTTTGCTTCATGTATTTTGAAGCTCTGTTCTTAGGTGCATGTATGTTATAATTATTACATCTTCTTGATTTATCATTATAAAATGTCCTCTTTTTTTCTTAATGTCCTCAATTTTTGTCTAAAATCTATTTTCTCTGATATTAGTATAGCCATTCCAGCTCTCTTTTGCTTACTGTTGGCATGATATAGCTTTTCCCCTCCATTTGCTTTCAACCTATCTGTGTTTTTGAATCTAAGTGTGTCTCATAGATAGCACATCAAGGGTTTTTAATGCATTCTGCCGATCTCTGTCTTTTAACTGGAAAGGTTAATCCATTTACATTTAGTATACTGATAAGGTAGGATTTACATCTGCTGTTTTGCTATTTGTTTTCTAGATGTCTTTTATCTTTTTTTGTTTCTCAATTCCTCCATTACTGCCTCCTTTTGTTAAATGGATATTTTCTAGCATACTATTCCTAGTGTCATTTCTTTTACTATATATTTTTAAGTTATTTTCTTAGTTGTTGCCCTAGGAATTACCATTAATATCTTATTTTATAACAATTTAGTATGGATTAATACAAAGTTAATTTTAGTATGGATTAATACCAAGTTAATTTCAACAGTATTTTAAAAGACATTGTTTCTATATAGCTCCATCCCTCCCTTTATGCTGTATTGTCACAAATATATATTGCAGGTCTATCAACATAGATTTATAGTTATTGTTTTATGCAGTTGTCTTTTAAATCAGACATAAATAAAAAAGCAATTACCAAAAACTACATGTATACTGTCTTTTATACTTAACTATGTAGTTACCTTTACAGGCGCTGTTTCGTCATGTGAATTCACGTTTTCATCTAGTGTCCGTTCACTTCAGCCTGAAAGACTGTAGTGATTGATAACCTCTGGTTTTTGTTTTTGTTTTTTTAACCAGAAATGTCTTGGGCCGGCTCCGTGGCTTAGCGGTTGGGTGCGCGCGCTCTGATGCTGGCGGCCCGGGTTCGGATCCCGGGCGCGCCCCGAGGCACCACATCTCCGTCCAACCCGGGGCCGGGTCCCGCGTACAGCAACTAGAAGGATGTGAACCTACGACATACAACTATCTACTGGGGCTTTGGGGGGAAAAAATGAATAAATAAAATCTTTAAAAAAAAAAAAAAAGAAATGTCTTAATTTCTCCTTCATTTTTGAAGGATGGTTTTGCTGGATATAGAAGTCTTGGTTGACAGTTTTTTTCTTTCAGCATTTTGAATATGTCACCCACAGCCTTCTGGGCACTAGAGTTTCTGATGAGAAATTTGCTGTTAATATTATTGAGGATCCCTTATGATGAGCCACTTCTCTGCTGATTTCAACATTCTCTTTGTCTTTATCTTTCGAAAGTTTCATTATGATGTGAGGGATCGCTTTGAGTTTATCCTACTTGAAGCTCATTGATGATCTTGGATGTGTAGGTTGGTTTTCATCAAATTTGGGAAGTTTCCTGTCATAATTTCTTCAAATGTTCCTCCTGCCTCTTTCTCTCCTTTCCTCTGGAACCCCCACTCTGCGTGTTGGTCTGCTTGATGGTGTCCCACAGGTCTCTGTAGCTTTGCTTACTTTTCTTCATGTTTCTTTTTTCTGTTCCTCAGACTGGATCATCTCAATTGACCCATCTTCAGACAGCTCAGATCTACTGTTGAGCCCCTCTAGTGAGTTTTTTATTCCAGTTATTATACTTTTCAGCTCCAGAATTTCTATTTGGCTCCCTTTTATAATTTCTCTCTTTTCGCTGATGTTCTCTATTTGGTGAGACATTGTCCTCACATTTTCCTTTAGTTCTTTTCAAGTGAGGCATTCCAGGGACCCACCAGACAGATCACAACAAATAACTACAATTCTCTGCATGTCAGGTCCCTTCTGCTCTCTCAGTACCTAGAATGCAGGCTCTCCCCAAGGCTAACCCTGAGCGGAAGCAGGGGTGACACTAACTAGGGCAAGTTAAAATGCCACAAAGCTCACTGCTCTTACCAAGATTCAAGATTCTTCTTGAATAAGCACTCCTCAGGGTGCTTCAAGCCTTTGGCTAATTTCCGGAGTTCTGAAAAAGTGGATTCTGACACCTTTTGCCAGTGTTCTGGCTGCTTTTATGGAGTAGCTTCTCTTTGGATGTCCCTCCTCTGCCATTTTCGCTGATGTTCTCCTTGTCTCTCTCGAACTCACTCCATGAGGCTTCTTCTCCCTGTTGTGTCACAGAGATGCTCATCAAGGTCACCAGTGACCTCCATGTTGCCAAAGCCAGAGGTCAGTTCCCAGCCCTCTGCTTCCCTGACCCGTCAGCCACTTTGGACACAGCAGCTCACTCCTGGTGCTCTTTCCCCATGGCCTCTGGACCTTGCCCAGTCCATGTCGGCCCTCTGTGCTGGCCCCTCGTCTGCTCGCTGGAGACCCAGGGTCAGCCCGATGCTCTGCTCTTTATCTGCACTCACTGGTGGTGAAAGTCTCCTGGCTTTAAAGTCCACCTGTGTGCTTAATACTCCACATTTAAACATCCAGCCCTGACCTCTCTCCTGAATGTGAGCCTTATATCCCATGGCCTGCCAGTACCCCATCTGCAAGCTCACAGACATCCCCGACTCCATGGTCCTCCTCCCCTTCTTAATGGATGGGGGCTCCATCCTCCCAGAGTCTCAAACCAAACACCTACGATAACCTTCAATCTTCTTTTCACAGCTCACAATCCTTTCATCAACCAACGGGGTTGGCCCTACCTCAAAATATATCCAGAATCCACCCTTCCACTTCTACCTACCCAAGCCACTGCCATTTCTCACCCGGAGTATTCAACAACTTCCTCCGGGCCCCTTCAGCCTCTCAGCACAGCAGCCAGAGGGCCCTATTAGGGCCCCGGTCAGATATGCCCCTCCTAGGCTCCATCCTCCAACAGCTCTGCTCTCAGGGTCAAAGGCAGGGTCCCTCCCATGCCCCCACGATGTGACTGGCGCCACTCTGGTCTCATGTCCCGCTGCCCCACTGGCTTGCTCCAGCCACAGCGACCTCTGTTCCCCCAACACCTTGGGCTGCTCCCACAACAGCCGTTGCTCATGCCCATCCGCAGCTCCTCCTTTTGGTCTTCACTCACTATCTCCTCAGTGAGGCCCGCCCAGACCAGACCCCTTTTTACAGCAGCCACCCCAGAACCCCACCCCGAGCACTGCTTCATTTTCCCCATTAGCGTTTATCACTTAGTCTGCTGCGCAGAGTGTATCGTGAGGTACTATCACATTTGCTGTCTCTCTCTCCTGCCACAGGTGGCATAGCCATTCCTCTTAAGTTCTCTTCACTCTTTTTTTGTGTGTCTGAGGAAGATCAGCCCTGAGCTAACATCCAATGCCGATCCTCCTCTTTTTGCTGAGGAAGACTGGCCCTGGGCTAACACCCGTGCCCATCTTCCTCTACTTTATATGGGATGCCGCCACAGCATGGCTTGACAAGCGGTGCATCAGTGCTCACCTGGGATCTGAACCCGTGAACCCCGGGCCACCAAAGCGGAGCGCGGGCACTTAACTGCTGCGCCACCAGGCCAGCCCCCTCTTCACTCTCGTAACCCAGTACCTGCCACGCAGTAGGAGCTCTACATATTTGTTGAATGAATAAAACGAGAGTGAATGAGTTTCTGGCTGTGAGCCTGTGACTCTGAGAGTACGAAAGTGTGGGCAGGTGTGGCTGTGCAGGTGCGGGCCCAGGTGAGAGAGCAGGTGAGGGCTGTGGCTGTGGCTGTTCAGGCCTGGGAGGTACAATCAGGGTCCACAGGTGACATCCAGTCACCCCTCCCTGCCCCACCCACAGAAGCAGATGCAGCAGATCATGGCCCACTGCTTCCTGGCCGTCAAATCCAAGCTCGAGTGCAAGCTGGGCTATTTCGACCTCATCGGCTGTGACTTCTTGATCGATGAGAACTTCAAGGTGCTGCTGAGGCGTCCCAGGGTGGGCGGGGCCTGGTAGGCAGGGGCAGGGAGGCAGGGCTGTCTGTGCACACCCTGACCACCCAGGCAGGCCCCTGGGGTGGACTCTGCAATCAGACTGCTCCCTGCCCCAAGCCCTGGGGATGGTGTGTCCATAAGGCTGCACTCCCGCAGCTGGGGCAACCCCCAAGCCAGACCCTCAGACCCTCAGAGTCTCAGCCTCTGGGGCAAATAGGGGGAGTAAGGCCACAGAAAAGGAGCACCTTGCCCTGGGTCACCTGGCTTAATGGAGACCAGGGCCTCAGACTTCTGCTTGACCAAGTGGTGGGTGGGGAGGGATGCTGACTAGTGCTGGGCCCAGGTGTGGCTGCTGGAGATGAACTCCAACCCTGCCCTGCACACCAACTGTGAAGTGCTGAAGGAGGTGATTCCAGGCGTGGTGGTGGAGACCCTGGGTGAGGCCCCTGGGCAGGCCCCAGAACCTTCAATCTGCCCTGGCACTGCCTGCCCAGTCTTGGATGCTCCACCCCACCCTCTCCCCAAGTTCAGATGCCCACAAATGTAGCTCTCCACCTGCGTGGCAACCCCGCCCCCAATGCTCCCAGAAGAGAGGCATCCGTGCCCCACCTGCCCACTAAGGCGGGCCGCCCACACCTCACTCCCACCTGGGTCCCACCCCTCACCACTCCCTCACCTCTGCCCCTAGAACCTCACCCTGCCCCACAAACGTGATGCTGGGGAAGCTGGGTCCCTGCCCCTCCCAGCCCCCCGCCAATGCCCCCCGCCTCTCCCGCTCTGCCCAGACCTGGCGATGGAGACCTTCCAGAAGAGCTTGCACAGCCAGAAGATGCTGCCCCTGCTGTCGCAGCGCCGCTTTGTGCTCCTACACAACGGCGAGGGGGACCCGGGGCGGCGCCCGGGGGGGCCCCGCCCACCGCCTTCGCTCCGCGCAGACAAGCCGGGAGCCCGCAGGCCCGTGCCCCCCCCCCCCGGGACCCGGACGGCGCCCAGGCCCGGGAGCCTTCCCCGGGGCCCGCCGAGGAGCAGCGCAAGAACACGGGCCACCGCGGCTCCTAGCGGGCGGCCGCCAGCGCCCTCTCGGGACCTATAAAGGCTACTTTGTTACAGAGGCAGCCTCTGCGGCGGGTCAGGGGGCTGGCCGCCCCAGCATGCACCAGGCACCCCAAGACGCCCCCCAGGGGCTTCCCTGGACCCCAACACCTGTCCCTCTGCCCTGCCAGCCCCTACTCCACTGGTGGGACCTGTCCTTGGGGGGAATACAGGGGTGGAGGGACGGAGGGCCTGCCATGCAGGAAGGGAAGATGAGCCCCCATGGTCCCCTACTCTGCCCAACCCCGGAGCTGCCTCCATCGTGGGAAAGCCCGCCAGCTCCTGGGCTCCCACACGTCACCCTGTGTCCCTAATTACCCAGGACCCTCCTGCAGCCCCACAACCCACATGACCCCTCCATCCTGGCTCTGTGAGCCCCGAGAAAGGCATCCAGTGTCCCTCAGGAAGGATCTGGATCCCTATGGACCCCTATGGATCCCCAAAGGAGGGCTCCCCGGAACCCGACTGTTCCCCAGAGCACCAGGGCCCTGCGCTCTCCACCACTTACGACAACCCCTGACGTTCCTGCAGGCAGAGCGCTGCAGAGGCCGGAGGTGAGGGTCATATGTCAGGACAGCACACCGAAGGGCGTGCAGAGCCAGCACTGGCCCACCCTCGCCAGTTCCTGTGTGGCTTGGGCCATCCCTGCTCCCTGTGGGCCCAGCCCTGAGGTTGCAGGGAGATTCAGGACCTCAGATGTGTCCCGGCCCCTACCACCAAGTGCCCAGGGCCAGCCATATCTCTCCCAACCCCTGCCCTCCAGCCACCCTGCACCAATCCCAGTCCGGACCCCAGGCCCACCTAGTTGCACACCCTCCTCCTGCACCCGTCTCACAGGCCAGGCCCTTGCCTCTCCAAATTGTCACTGCCAGGTCACAAACGCCCTCCTTCTGGCCCACCCACGCTCCTGACCTCAAATCCGCCCCAGACATGAGCGGCCTCACTGCAGGGGATAGGGGCCGCCAGGACCCCTTCTCTGCTCTGCGATGGAGCGCTGGTGGGACCTGGCGGGCAGCAGGCCTGGCCTCACAGCTGTCCACCCCACCAGGCCAGGGGGAGGGCAGCTCCACTCCCAGGGATGCGACAGCCACAGCACCACTAGAGGGCACCAGGCACCACTGTGTCTCCCGCCGGCAGCCAGAGGGGTGCAGCCCAGGAGAGGAGGAAGGAGAAGGGAACCAGGGCTCAGAGAGGTAGTCAGTCCCCCCAGGTCACAGAGCCAATGAGGGGCCCAGGCCTGGGGCTAGGACCGACCCGTCCAGTCACTCTCAGCCCGCCCACCCCACCCCAGTGCACCCCGCTGCACCCCCCCATCATCCTGCTGAGGCCTGGAGTGTGGGGTCCCCAGACGAGAGGCAAGAAGCACACTTGTCACTGTGTGGCGGAGTCCAGGAGCCCGAGCCCCTCCCAGAGTGTCTGGCGGGCTCTCTGTGAGAGGCCAGGCTCAGCCGCTGTTTGCTCTGCAGCAGGGTGGCCGGCTCTGTAGTCCTGAGGGCGGCAGGGGGAAGACCAGCCTCCGTCAGGGAGAGGCGGCCTCCTGAGTGGGCTAAGCGTGCCCAGGTCTTTGGGGTCAGGACCACGTGCCCTGCTGGCATGCAGGCTGCCGCATAGCCACTAGCCTGGGTCACCTCCTGATACCCCCGGGGCCTCTGTAGCCCATGTCGCAGCTCACAGGCCTCTCCCCCCTTCCTCACATCCCACTCACCCCACAAGTCGCTGCCCACGAGTCCTCTGGCCACACACTGTCTTGTGGTGTCTCGTGGCCTGTGAGGCATCAGTGCTGTCCCAAAACATTCCAGCTCTCCTCACCGGCCACGGTGGGGCTGCCCCTAGGTTCAGCCAGCCTGTCAATATGCAGAGTCCTCAGGAAGATGCTTTGCTCACGGCCCCCATTGTCGCTGGGCCCTGAGTGGGTGCAGTGATCCACGGGACCCGTGGTGTGACGAGAAGTGCCCAGTGGCAGAGTGGCCTGCCTTGTCCTGACTGAGCCCCCGTCCTGGGCTCCCCCAAAGGCCTGGACCATCTGCTGCTCTTGGGTCCCTGGGGCCCCCTGAGAGCCCGAATGTCAATAAATGAGGTTCCCCGAGAACCTCTGCTGTCGTTCATGCCCCGGAGGTGATGCCACCCTCGCCCCCATCGGGATCTCCGGCGGCCCCACCCAGCCCACATTTGGGCTCCAAAGTGCCCTAACCAGAACCCCAGACCCATAAGGTCTGACTAGCAGGGAGAGGAGGGCAGGAGATGGAGCCTGGGGTGCCGTGGGCAATGGGGCACCTGGGCATCGGAGGTGCGAGGTGTACCCCAGTATTCAGACGACAGGATGGGCGGCAAGCACAGCAGAGGCGGTCGGGACCCCGGCAGGGGCTTGAGGTGCAGCCCAGGCAGCAGGGGAGGGGTGGCTTCCCGAGAGCCTAGGATGGGCCTGCCCTGCTCTGCGGCTGGGTTTGTAATCCAAGGTGAATGCAGCTCCTGAAAGCTGAGCTGTCTCCCCCTACTCTCCATCCCCCTCCACCCATTCCCTCCCCCTCCACCAAGGGTGAGTCCTGGGGTCCTGCCAGTGGGTGGGGAACTCAAGCAGTGCCTTCCACCTGCAGAAGGTTTGAGGGATCAAGCCACCCTCGGCTCTGACCCAGGCACCGCCTAAGGACCCCTACCATCCCTGTAGCCTCCATCTTGAGGTCTGCACAGCACAGACCCTCACACTGGCACCACTCAGCCCCTGGCAGACAGGGCCTGGGGTCTGCTGGGCACCTTCCAGCAGCCATGGGTGTGTTTCAGCCAGACAACAAGCCCATGGAGCCCCGAGCACTCAGAGGACACCCCCAACCCCTCTTCCCTGGAATGTGTCTCGGAGAAAGGGGTCTGGAGCAGCCCTGGCCTGAATCACCATCTCTGGAAATCACCTCACCTTCTGAAGCTTCCTGGAAAGATGAGACATGTGGGGGTGGGGGTGTCTGCCTCTCCACCCCAGGCACAGCCACTTCTTGGTGGGGGTGATGTCCAGGGCCCTGAAAACCACCACAAGGGCTGGCTAGAGGGGCAGCCCCTCTAGGAGCGAGTCCTTTGCTGACCCAGCTGGGGGAGGGGTGGCTGTGCTGCTGAATGTTGAGGATACCAGAGGTCGGGGGGACAGGAGTGATGGCCCCAGGTCCTGGTCAGAGTCCCTGAGTGGTCAGGCTTGACATCATGGGCCTGTCTGACCCACTGGTGCACATCCCAGCACTTGGGGGCAGCCTGGGACCACCTGCCCCAGGATGGTCCCCAGCAACTGCCCTAGGACTGGGGCTGGGAGGGGCTAATGTCAGTTCTGTCTAGGATGGGTCCCCTCCCTGTCCCCACCATGGGTCTCTCTGCCCAGCTGGGGGTCCCACACTGGCTGATTCCAGATCTCAGTAAGGGCCAGACAGGGACCTTTTCTAGTGAGGTGAGGGATGGAGGCTGGGTGGGTAGCCGCTGTGGCCGGAAGCACTTCTGGGAACAGAGGGTGGCCTCTGGGCCCTTATCTGAAGCTGAACAGACACGTGGACCCTGACCCCAGAGGGAGGGGCTGTGGTTTTCCGGGACAGCTGGTGATGTGCTCCTGTCGGGTGGGAGTTTCGAGGGGGAGCAGTGAGGGGCCTGAAGTGGCCTGGACAGAGTCTCACCATGGGGCCTTTCTCCACACAGGGCTGCCAGGCTGTGCCAGTGGGCACATGCCTGCCCCATCCCAGGAGGCTGGGTTGAGTGGGAGGAGGTGGGAGCTCTCAGCAGCACCTCGTCTCAGAGCAGCCCCCACCCCTTCCGCACACGTAGCCCCTGCTGCCCTGGGCACTGCCCCCCGTCACACACTACTTCCCTCCTCCAAACTCGGATGTGCTCAGGCCTCCCCTACCTAGGACCCCTTGGTGTGGCCTCTGCACACCCATGCACTGGGGTCTCCACTAACCTTCCAGCCTTGGCCCCTGTGCCCCCGGGGCCCTGCACACCCCTTTTCAGGCAGAGTTGTCCTACAAATTGCCATGACCAGGCCCCTGTGTCCCCTCTCTGTTCTGTGGGCTCTGAGCTGGGGCACCGCAGGCCCAGGTCGAGCTTGCAAATTGAGGGGCCCTGGGGGCTCCATCCAAGGAGGCTACCTGGGGAGGGATGTGAGCGAAGGCGGGAGGGAGAGCAGGAGTGGGCCTTTGGTGCTGTGATGACCACAGGATGGGGGCAGGTGGGGCCGGGTGGGATAGAGGGCATCTCTGCGGCGGTGCGTGGTGGAAGGGGACGGATGCTGCAAAAGTTCCCCTGAGGCCCCCCAAAGCCCTGAGCTCCCTGGGGCCAGACCCCTCTCACCCACTCCCAGGCCCAGCCTGACCTTCCAACGCTGACTCCAACCCTGTCCCCACCCTCGCCTGACCTGGGTCTCGGAATCCCCCTCCCCGCTCTGCGTCAGCCCTGCCGCCCCCTCGCTGACATTCCGGGCACTGTGGCCCCACGCGGCCGCCCACGAGGAGTTTCCGCGCTGAGTCAGCGACCGTGCGCCAACCTGAGAGGCCCCTCAGGCCCTGGCACGGGCAGGCCACGGGCAGTTTCTTGGGAAGGTCTGTGGATGATTTGGCTCCCAGCCCCTGCCGGGGCGGCTGAGCCAGGGCTGGGAACCCCTCTCCCTGGGGCCGCCTGAGCAGGTGCATGGGGAGGGTCCAGGACAGCTGTGAGCACCCCTGTGCCCCACCCCAGGGGGTGGGGCAGTCAAGTGACCTAGGTAACAAGAACAAGCCCCAAGAGAGCTGGCTTCCCGAAGGACAGTGGGCGAGGGGTGGGCAGGACAGGAGACCTGGCCTGGACATAGGAGAACCTGGGGTGCGTCCCCCACTGTCACCATGACGCCAGCCAGCTCGCTGGGCATTTTCTTGTTCGTGAGCTAATTCGCCTGGATCCTCACCCAGAACGTGGGCTCCGTGAGAGTGCCCAGAGCCCCGGGCCCAGGAGGCACTGAGAAGGTGCTCACGGACAAGTATTCCCCTCTTGGGTAAAGTCGTG